TATCGAATGCCAGCACAGATGGTCTTGTCTTCTTTTCCTTTGCTTCTTAGCCCTGTAAAAAAAATATCCACATGCCTAGTGGCCTACCTTGCAGTTAAGCAAAACTATTAAATAGCAACACTCAACCAAAATTGCTGTTGTGGTTATTCTTTTATAGAGCAGAGGAATCTGTTACAATCATCTTGTAACTACGTGACTGTCTTGGCCAGATAGCTTTAGGTGATAAAGTAGATTTCTCAAATTACAGCTTTCTATTGCATAGATCTTCCAGATCTGTGTCGTCCAGCCCCACTGTGGATTGGCCACCACTCTGGCTACTTCTGCTGAGTTGTCCAGTATACTTCAGGGAGAAAAGGTGGGCTTTGGCTAGATGGTCTTTAAGACCCTTTATGGATCTAAACTTGTGGCTTTTTAGTAATCGCTCAAGTCCCAAGCACATAAAGATGTCTTAGTTGTCTCAGTCATTTTCCCCAAGGAATATTCATTACACCAAACAGATAAGGACACAAGACGCCTTGAGCTCCGTAGTGATGAGACTTTCTCAGGCATGAGGCAAGGCCCAACGCAAACTGGCTGAAGCACATAAGGGTATTTATTGGCACCTGCAAGCTGAATCCCAAAGGGAGCCTTTCTTTTGCAAGGGGGGGTGGGTGGGTCCCGGGGCCCACGGGATGTAAGGAGGACCCCCTCTCCTTAAGCCCTGGTTTGCTCTCTCCTGTATTGTCTTCATGTCCAGCAGGTTTTCCCCACAGGAGACCCCAGCAGCACCGAAATGATACCTCCCATTAGAGAAAAAGGGCTTCTTCCCAAGAATTCTAGAATCTTCTTAAGTGGAATCTAATTGGTTTGATTGAAGTCATGTGTCCTTTTCTGAACCAATCACTACGACCAGGGGATTAGTCATATCTGTGTCACCAGCTCTCCAGCTCTCCAGAGGATGGGGGTGGCCGTGGGGGAGATATGAAAAGGAAAAGTTAGCTGTTAGCAGATGAAAGGAGGAAGGATATTGGACATTCATTGAAGTCCTCAGTGAGCTAGTGACTTTCTTATAGACAATGTATTCATTTCCCACGACTCCTATAACAAGTTAACACCAACTGAGTGGCTTAAAACAACAGAAATGTATTATCTCACAGCTCTGGAGGCCAGAAGTCTGAAATCAGGTGCCAGCAGGACCACCCTCTTTCTGGAAGCTCTAGGGGAAAATTCCTTCTTTGCCTCTTCAAGTGGCTGCCCCTCTGATCTCCGCCTCTGGTCACACATCTGTCCATTTCAACCTCCTCTTGCCTTTCTTTTAGTGGGTCACTGGTTGTGTAATTCAGGATAATCTCATCTCAGAGTCCATAGTTACAGCTGCAAGCCTTATTCCCCAAAAGGTCATATCCATATGACAGGTTAGTTGTTGGGGGGGGGGGGTCATTTCCCAGCCTACCACAGACAGGAAAAGTGACTAATTATGGTCTCAAAATACATGGGAGAATCAGAATAATTTCCAAGAGTTACTGATAAATCTTATCCATGTGGTTTGTTGCTTTTTAATGAAGTAAAATAAAATGTGCTGCAGGAGATGAAGACACAGCTAACTTTCTGAACGAACTGCAAAGCATGGCAGGTTTTCATTTGAACGTATCAAGCCTCTTGTTCTCTTCCAGATAATTGCTGCACCAATAGCTGTTTCCATTTGAGTTTTCAACTCCTTTTTCTGTATTATCTTTAGCTCCTCGGCTAAAATGTCTTTATTGGTAATATTAATACTGATCATAAGTGATGAACAAGAACTGGAATCTAAAAAGTCATAGGTGGGCCCTCCCTGGTGGCACAACAGGTAAAGCGCAGCACTATGAAGCTTTCTCCAGCAACTGCAGCCCTAGTTCGATTCCCGGCCAGGGAGGTGACCCACATGGCACAGCAGACTTCTCCTGACCTTCCCGCTGCTCCCCTCAGCAGTGTATTTCAGTTAATCCACCTGTTCTGCTCCCCACTCTGCCTCTGGTGAATCCTCTGATTCCCCCACTTCTGACCTGCACCCCAGGTGCATTAATAAATAAAAGCCACTGGGGAGAATATACACAGAGAAGAATTTTCAAATCTGATTTCTTATTTCAGATGATTAAAAAAAAAATACAAAACCTCAGTCATGGGCTTTTCTAGTTTAGGTTCATGTTCCAAGGAACTCCAGGCTAATTAGAGATGAACAAGACAAAAAAACAAAAAAACAAAAACAAAAACAATGACATCTACAGGCGCCCTCTGTCCTCAACAAGAAAGCGGTGTCATACATGGTTTCAAATACATGTCATTTCGTCCCTCCTTCCACCCACCTGCAGTCCCACCAGCTGCCTTACTGGTTACTCAGGTTGGACTGGGAGCCACTCTTGCTGGTATTTCCCCTGGAGGCATCTTGGCAGCCATTCTGAAGGCTCAGATCCTTGGATGTCCCAGGGCTGGGCAGGTGCTCTGTGCTTTATCAGTCCACAGGACTTACAGGTGTTTCACAAGGCTGGGACGGGGAGCCGGGACGTGGAGTGGGGTCCGAGAGCTTGATGCTGCCAGTTCCCCCAGTTCAGGACCTGAGGGGCATAGGTCCTCACCCACGCTACTCGGGGGTGATTCTGCTTTGTTGACTAGAAGTCTGTAGGATCTGACATGGGAGATCTGCAGTTCCGGAATGGACTTGAGTTCGACATGGCGGTGGGGAATCAACCTCTGTGTCGGCAGAGGGAATTTCCATATGTCATGGAGAGGGCTCTGGCCTGGGGCACTAGTGGGCAGGACTTTCCTGGTCACCACCATGCACAATGACCTTAACTGCCACTGAGTTGCTTCTTTGCTCTTCAGGGCCCATATTCAAAACAAGAGGCCTGCACTTGGTATTATCTGAGGCATCTTTTAGCTTCCCTATCTATAAGCTGTATACACGTCATACCCTCGAGGGTGAACATTTGGGACACCTATATACGGCTCATTGGCTGTCCTTTTTTCCAGAAAATTCTGTCCCCACACACCCTGATGTTGCCAGTCATTACATTCAGAGGCTCTTAAATAAGGTCCAAAAGTACAGGATTGTGGTTAGAGTAAGAGTCATTCCCCATTATGACAGTTCAGTCATTCATCAAACATTAATAGGGGCCCCATGTAGATGCTGGAGCTATAAAGACGAATTAGATGGAGACTCCACCCTGAGGAGTGCACAGCCCAGTGCAGAAGACAGATGGATAAACTGAGGCTGTGTCATAGGATGTTATATCCCACTGTGGAACCCTCAATAGGGAGTTGTGACACACTCAAGATTTATGCACATCTGTCTGGGTGGAGTCAGGAGTGGCTTCCTGGAGGAGGTGACAGGGATGGTGACTGCAGAGTGGAAGAGAGGAGTGACTCCCTTAGAATGCTCAGAGTAAGCATGCTCACTCAGCAGATACTCGCCAACTGCCATGTGGCACCTTGCTTCCTTTAAAGACAGGTGTCCCTCCCGTTGTCTAATTGTGCCCTTGGATCTGACACAACACAATCGAAACAGTGTGCACCCGATCCAGCCCCATGGCAGGTCCTGAGGAAGCTGGGAAAGTTGTCCTGACCCCAGCTGTGATGCCGACGCAGAGCTGGCAGATCTGTGGGCTCTGGCAGTAGCGTTTCGTTATGCTGGGGTGATGCCTACAAGGAGCATTCTGGGCACAGTGCAGATTACCTTCTGTTTTTTTTTTTTTTTTTTTTTTTTGGGCGTGTGTGTGTGTGTTATTTTTTCTTCTTTTCCTTTTTCATTTCCCATTCCTGGTGCAAATTAGGCAAAACGGACTGAGTTGGTTCTGAATGGGGTTCTCTGATTCCACTGAGCCACCTTAGGTCTCCCCGACTTCTTGGCGGAAAAGCTCAGAAATTTCATAAAAAAAGAAAAGAAAAGAAAAGTCGTTGTCCTTCCTCCTAGCGCAAGGGGTTAAGTCTCTGCACTATGAAGCTCTCCGCAGCCTCAGCTGCTGCAGCGTGAGTTCGATCCCCAGAGGGGGAGCTGACCCACACGCAGCAGACCTTAGCAGACTTCTCCTGTCTCACCCACTGCTCCCCTCAGCAGTGTACTTCAGTCCATCTGCCTCTTCTGCTCCCCACTCTGTCTCTGCTGAATCCTCTCACCTCTGCACCTCTGGCCTACACCCCAGTTCTTGTATGCATAAGTGAATAAATCTTAAAAAGAAGAAGAAAGGCGAGGACTCGGTTGCTGATGAGGACATCGCTGCAGGAAGCAACTCCTCAGGCGCCTCGCAACTGTGTCCCCTTCCTGCAGGTGACCTTTGCTCCTCTATTGGCCTCCCACCAAGCAGGGCCAGGTCTGGCCCTTTCCCCTTTTCCCGTTCAGTGGCCGGACATGTCCCTCAAGTTCGTGAGTCAAAGCTCTTTCGGTCAGACTGGTTCCCCGACACCCTGCGCGGGACCTGGGGACACGCGGGGCTGTAAGCCTCGGCGGGAGGCGTTGGCTTGGCCCCGCCTTCGGCTCGCCCCGCCGGTGGTTCAAGTGTAGGTTGGAGCTGGAGCAGAGAGGCAACACCCCTTGCTCACACACAGCAGCCAGCTCCCGCGGGAGAGCTCGCCGGGCTCACTCTGCGGGCGGCAGCGAGCGGGAGGGACCGAGCGCGGCGCTGCCGGTTAGCGGTCGGCGAGAGCAGGGCCGATTACTCACCGCTCTAATTGCCGGTCATTAAGTTCCGAGCTGTCCGACGAGGGGCGCAGACTGGAGGCGGCGGCAGGTGGCGTCTGGGGCTCGCCGGGCGCCCGCGCGCTCGGCCCGCTCGGGGTTAAGCCGCGCCGGTTCC